CCTGGTGTGACCTTGCTAGTCTCCCTTCCTCTTAAGTGGATAATAAATGTTACAGTCCTGATCCTGATGGGCAGTTCTCCAGTTAGGGCCCCAAACACACATACTATATGCCCCTTGGCAGTCAGTGAGGGCAAGTGGGGATTCAGAGCCTTCCCCATCTAGATTTCCCAGTGCTAGACTGTGTGTATGTTGTGGGGGTGCATACAAGATTCTTGCCCTTTAAGTTGTACACACATTTTTATATAAAGTTTTAAATATGTTTTAGCATATTTATTTAGTAAAATTAAGTGCTCAGCCCTTTAACAAATTTTTATTTTTACTGTACAAAATAGAATCAAATACAAAATGGTATTTACTCCAAAATTTCATTATTTCTGATTTGTCAGTCTTTTTATAATATGACAGAGGTCCCGTTTAAAAAAAAAGTTACTTTAGTCTAATCTAAATAATTTCCAGCTAATCCATATCTGAAATGTGTCTTACTTCATCTTTCATATCCTTAATCTCAGCTCGGACTATTGTTAAATTAGATATTTTTTCATTTAAGAAAGCAATTTCTTTCTCTCTTTGTAGTAAGTCAGTAACCAATCTTCCAATGCGTAGTGTTAAATCATTTATCAATGGTTCCAAGCGGGAAAAGTCCTTCTTTAGATTATACACCTTTGGTTTTAGATCATTTGCAAATGCCACTGTCTTCAGAACTTTGGCTCTGTCACTTTCTAAACTTAAGAACCTATCTGTGTGCTTGTTGAAATCACTCTGTAGCTCAGAAAGTATCTTCTTAACGGAGTTAATTCTTTGTGAATTTTCAGATGCTGTCTTTCGGAGCATTGCTGTTCGGTCAATGCTACTTGAAAGAAGATCACCTATCTTTTTTACAGTATTTTCCTCTACTTTTTCTATCTTATTTTCCAGTTCTTGCACAGAATCTTTCAGTGATGCTACATCAGCTACTAAACCTGAAATACGACGTATATCTGTTTTTACGGTTGTAATCTTGAGACCGACATCTTTTGCCATGGAAGTTGTACTTTGGTTTACTTTTGTAACATCTTGAGAAAGAGTTGTCAAATTGTTGTTCAGTATATCCTGTTTTTCAGTTATCCTGTTGGACCAAGTTTTCACTTCATAAATTTCCTCCTGTAGATGCTTTAGGTGAGTAATTATTTGAAAAGACTTCAATTGTTCTATGATAGCTTCAGACTTCTGACACTGTAAGAAAATATAGTACCAGAATAATTAAATTGATTAAAAGCTTAACATTTAAAATTCAACTTAAATTTTGTGTTGTTTTTAATTGTAAAGTTACTGCTCTTGTGGAAAGCATTTGGTAAAAGATACATTAAGTGTATTGCTGGGTGGAGGGTATAGCTCAGTGGTAGAGCCCGTCCTTAGCATGTGCAAGGTCATGGGTTCAATCCCCAGTACCTCTACTAAAAAAAGAAAAAATTAAGTGTATTGCTAATGAATAAAAAAGAAAACATTAAGGATATTTCATAAAATGTTATCGGAAATGGCATTTTCCACTTATTTTTACACCATCAGTCCTCTGTGTAGGACAAAATGAGCTAATTGAGAGATAGTGATGCTTTTTCAGTTGCTGGAAGGGAGGAGGAAGCCTCCTCTATATAGGTTTTGGTAAATTTGGTGTGGGGTGTCAAACAAGATGATATGACTTCTGAAACACAAGTTTGTAGGTATAACAAGTGCTCGAATGAAGGGACTCTGTGCATATACTTTATTGTTCTATTACTTATCAGTAATACTACCATAGGCCTTACCAAGTTTCTTTCAAAAATAATTGTATTTCTTCAATATATTTCCTATGAATCACCTTTCTTAAATTCCATTTGCCTGGTTCATTCAGGTAACCTGTTGGGATTATTTTGGTAATATTAACTTAGTTTTATTTAATGCAAATAAATATTTAATATGCTTGGAATATTACTTTTATAGTAGCTTAAAAAAGGAGCAGCTACATAGTGCAAAGAAATGACAAGCTGAAATGGGGCAGCAGAACAGCTAATGCAAAGCAGCAACACCCCCTTTTGCCTCATCATATATATTTGGTTCCAAAGTGTATTTTAGGATTTTTCTCAATAGGTTTATGCTACATTAATTAGTAGTTGGGGAGGTGGCCCCAATTTTTTTTTTTTGGTAGAGAAGTTAGATTGTGAAAATGTTATTGTGGGTATGACAGTAAGGAATAGCCACAAATAGGAAGGAAATCTAGTAGTAATTGCAAAACCTTACATTTTGTTTTTTAGGGGAAAGTTTTGCAATAAAGTGTATTTGCTGAAACAGAGACTCTCAAGGGTGAAAGGAGAGGATTTATTTTCATCCATTTCATTACCAGGTTATCATTTATTAATGTATCTACTCTGATAGAGCAGATGTAGCTTAATAGCCTTATGCAATTAAGACATCTCAGAAAGGGTTAAGTTTATTCTTAGAAGTATCAGATGATTAGAAAATTGCTAGTAAGTCTCTTTGTTTCACTTGGTAGCTTATAAAAGCAATTTATTATGAACTTCTACTGGTATTTATTAAAATATAAATTCAAGGCAGTATAGGAATAGCCTAAAAATTGTTTCACTGAATTATTTTTAAAGATTATTTAACAGCTTGTTTAACCTATTTGCCTAAGATGAACAGAAGAGTTGGAGTCTATTAGTAGCTTAAAAGATTCACCCCGTAATTTGAATATTTACCAAGTTCCTATCACATATGCAAGGCACTAAGCTAGATGCTGTCCTGTAACATTAAATACTGTCTAATCTACAAGCATAGCAACATGAGTCAAGGGAATGATTTCTGGGTCCAGTTGGCCTTCCAAAAACTTTGCTAAAAGGATCTTTGAACTAAAGGACTTGGAAATTTTACTGATCTCTAAAACTTAAAACCACTCAAAACCAGAAGAGATCTTAGAAACTATCTGGTACAATTCCATCATTTTACAAAGTAAAAAACTGAGCCCAAAAATAAAGTGCCTAAGAATACAGTTAGTGGCAAAGCCTATATTAGAAGATTCTAGTGTAGGGTTTTTTCCTCCTCTACTCTCCCCTAAACGTTTATTGATTTCTTCTTATGCCCAAGGTCACAGATAAAAGTTTTGAGGGACGTATAATCTAGTTTAATAGCAACATCGTAGTGGACACATTTAGCTGAATTATAGCTCTTTGAATTCTCAAGATAGTTCTATTGATAGCAGATTTCTTGTGATTTTTTTTTCCCTCCTCCCTGGCTGAACAGCAGCAGGTTGCACTGTACATGGGAGGTCAGTGGCCTCTGGAATTGGGCAGTTTCAGCAGTATGACTGTTTAGATTCCTAATCTTGCTGAGCCTCAATTTCCTCATTTGTAAAAGGGGTCTTGTAGCTAGCTAAACTGTGCAGAGAATTAGTGATAACACATGCAAAGTGCCCAGCACAATGACTGGGACAGGGTAGGCACTCAGTACGTGTTAGGATGATGTTGTTAGGATGATGATGAATGTAGGTCTGCTAGCAGTGTGACGCATAATAGGCTCCAAAATGTCAGGTCTCTCCTCCCCTGCTGTGTAATCCTGGGATGGAGGATTTTGATTTGTATTAATAGTTCATAGCTGAACTGAAATAGATGCTGGGTAAAGCTCTGCAAAGAGCTTTTGCCAACTGCAAATTAAGGTAAGTCTAAAGAGAAATAAATTGTTTCATGTGTTTGGTGAATTTCCAGCATCATTATTTTATGATGACATCATATTAAGCTCTGATCAAGATTATAGATTCATACAAAGGTCTCCAATTATGTTGAAATTAAAAACAATGCCATTAATTTTGAATCTTACAAATTTAGTTTTCTATGAAATCATACAGGCTAAAAAATCAAGATTTTTCATTATAAAATAAAAAATACACTTGGTCAACAGCTTCTATTTCATTAGGCAAAATTTAAGGAAGCGTTACTACAAATACACTTTTAAACTTTACATCAAAAAGTGAAAAAAAAGTTTTGTAAGTGATTTATATGTGCTAATTTAAAAAATGGAGCCAGTACTCTCTAACAGACATTAATTGATGTAAAATTTATTATTAATTACAAAGATACAAAAACGTGTATCTTCCTTAAAGGAAAAACCAACAATGTAATTCAGTATTTGATACATAGGGAAGTTTTTAAAATTTCAAATTTCTGTGTTAAATGAATTTAAGAAACAGAGGAAGACAGTGTGATAGTTGCACAACAATGTGAATGTATTTAACGCCACAGAACTGTACACTTAAAAGATTAAAATGGTGAACTAAAAAAAAACAGAGGAAGACAAATGAGGTACATCTAAATCTCTCTAATGACAATTTTTTATTGGAAAACCTCTGAATAAAGGAATATAGACCCAGGAATCCCACTCCTGGGCTTGTATCCAGAAGGAAATCTACTTCAGGATGACACCT